CCCCTTTGTCTGATATTTTTCTTCTGCACATTCAAGGTTACTCTTGGCCTTGTTCGAAGTTATGTGACACTTGCTTTACCATAACAGGCAACATGCCCTTTGTTCTCAATCAATTTAAATTTAAAAATATAAAAACAACTTATTCTCTGAGTGGTTCACCAGTATCTATGGGCTCCATACATTTTCCTGTGTAAACCAATTGTACAGAAAAATCCAGTTTTACTGTCATATATGGACCAACCTTTTACACTTCATTTAGAATAGCGCTTAGAAGGAAGGAATATTATACAGCCAAAGCAGATATTTACCACGAGTGTGAGTGTGAGTATGATGGGTGAACCATAAAACCGGACTTCACACTGCGACCTACAATGATCTATTGTGATTCACCTTTGGATTAACCTTTAATGTACGGACTTTTAAATTGACGGCAGCCCCCCTACAGTTAGAATTTAAACGACCCTAAGTCTTTAACATTGCAGACTTTCAGAAAAAACTGCATATTATCCGTTCTATGCAACATAGTAATATGAACTAAAAAGAATCTGAATGACAATAAAATTTTCTACATATACACAAAAGAGCAATTTTTACAAACCAAAATTAACTGTGATTATTTAGTCATGAAATGCAAAATATAATCTTTATTATGTTATGAAATCCCAGAGGACTTACCTGTAGTTTTTTTCAACCTTGACACTTAGTGAAATTGTAAATATAATCACACTATATGCAATAATATTTTGTTCACACTGTATGCGAGTTTGAACTGCGTCACTTCACAGTTTACGGTACCTTACACTCTGACGCGCGTGTGCCACTTCTCCAAGCAGTCCACGACACAAAACGCAACATCACACTTTTTACAATAAAAAATGGTGCTCCTGCATTTCTTATTTAACGAACACGCATGAAATCGTCTGTTTCCCTTTGGTTGGCCAGTGTTGGGAATGTTTCACCTACAAATTTCAGCAGCCTGTTCTACTGTATCAAATGAGCTCCTGTCAAATGCTCCCTCTACGTCAAGGAATGCCTGAAGGGCAATTTCCTTGTGTTCGGTGGCATTTTCTATGCATGTAACTACATTATGTGGTGCGGTTTCAGTAGATATACTTATCTGGTAAGCATGTTGGTTTCGGTGTAGGAATGAATCTTCAATGCACCATCCCTAATGTATTGAAATGAGTTTCGTTACTGAAGACGCCGTAGAGATTGTTAATTGGTTTATTTAACAACCTACAAATCTCGGCTAAAATTAATTATAACAAAGTTGCGGGGTTTCACACTTTATAACCCTATTAGCAATATTCAATTCACTCTATTGTCAGTAGTCTACACGTTTCACAGTACAGGAGCTATATAAGTGCCACTGTATCACACACTANAACACACTCGCTCGTAGGCTTGCTCGGAACTAATCTCGGCGATGGCCACATTACAACTAACTCGTAGCTGCTGTGCTGTACCCATATATAGCCGCAGTGCTTGCCTGTTGCGTGATGAGTGCCTTGTCACAGTAGAAATCGGTGCCACGTCGCCGTGTATGCGTATAGCCTAGCAACGCTGTTACTTCACGCCGTCTTACGTCACCNNNGGGGGTTCTCCATTGCGCAACATGTCACACTGCTCCCTCCTTAAGGCTGTTCGTCCCGAATTGCCTAACGGTGCATCCCCGTTCCTTTTCTTTGGAGGCTGTGCTTTCTGCGTCTCCTGTTTTGGCTACTCCTCGCAGCAACTATTATCCGGCCGTTACAACCGCTCCCTTCTTAAGACCAGCTCGTCTCGAGTGGATTCCTGCTACGTGCCCGAAGATCCAGTTGTATCACATTCATCCATCACTTTCGTACTTGCTCGGGTGGCCGGTACTTCTACGTTCACAGCTCCTTTTCTTTGCTCTGCTTCTTTTTCGTTTTTGGAGGGGGTCGACCCCTCCACAAGGTCCAATTCTTGGTCATGTCTTTCTTCGGAAGTTCCTTATGTCAACATAACAGCCCTTGATGAGATGTTTGCACTTGCTGCTTTCGTCGTTCTTCCTGGTCTTCCAGCCGCTTGCTGGAACGAGACCGTGGCGCCGAGTGCTCTCTCTGGTATCCGAAGGTTCCCTGGGGAGTTTCCTTCTTGAAGTCATTTCTCCAACGTTGTGCCACTGTCGCGCGACGGGATGTCTTCCTGCAGGTGGCAGCCAACTTCATTCGGGATTCATAATCTCCTTGGGTCCAAGATTTATTGAAGATGTTCCTCCGACGCCATACCACTGTTGCACGGCGGGACACCTTCCTGCTGGCGGCGGCCCACTTCATCTGGGGTCCACGACTTCCCTGTGTCCGGTTCTTCATGCTTTGCTGATGTCGGTCCCTGCGCCTTTTCTCCTTTGGTTGTCTGACCAGCATTACTTCGGCATCTTGTACGGGTACCTCTCGTAGCTCTGCCGCCTCAGGTTTCCTGTCCGCTGAGGCCGGCTTTGTTCTTCTGGACGTGCCTCCATTTCTCGGCAGGCCATCGAATCTCCGACCGATATCACTAAGGGGACCTCTTCTTCTTGTGCCATCCTTGCTTGGGTTGCTCTCGTCTCCGCGGCAGTCTTTTCTCGCCAGGCTTTAGAGTCGGCGTCCACCTTTTCTCGCCACGCCCTCATCTCTTTCAGAATTTCCTCTTTGTCTTTCTTCCTATTTTCCTCCATCGCTTCCTTCTCTTAGTTCTTTTTCCTCTTCTCTTCCTATCGGCGTTCAGTCTGGCCACCATTTGTTCCTGGGCGAACAACAGACGTTCCATCACCTTTTCCATGTCCATGTTGTAGCAGTAAAATACTCGATGCACAATAATTCAATTATCTGTCGAGGCGTCTTCAAGTTCATAAAACAATTCTGACAGCAGTGTAACGTGTCTTGAGTTCGAATCTTGTTGGTCACGTGTGTAAGTCCAATCCCACTTCTGGAACAACAGTGTAACGTGTTTCGTTACTGAAGATGCCGTAGAGATTGTTAATTGGTTTATTTAACAACCTACAAATCTTGGCTAAAATTAATTATAACAAAGTTGCAGGGTTTCACACTTTATAACCCTATTCTCAATATTCAATTCACTCTATTGTCAGTAGTCTACACGTTTCACAGTACAAGAGCTATATAAGTGTCACTGTATCACACACTCCCAATTATTACTCAGTTATCATGAACTATCACTGATTCTCGCACACGCATCCATAACTCGTAACTGCTGCCTTGAGAACTCTTGATCACACACTAACCGTCTCCGGGGACGGCTACACATTAACTCACTCCGGTGGCTGTGCAGTTCCCTTATATAGCCGCAGTGCTTGCCTGTTGCGTGATGAGTGCCTTGTCACAGTAGGAATCGGTGCCACGTCGCCGTGTATGCGTATAGCCTAGCAACGCTGTTACTTCACGCCGTCTTACGTCACCATGTGGAGGGGGGGTGACGGAGCGCCGACTCACACGCCACGTCACTGCTGAGAGGGAGGGGTTGNTGGGGGGGGGACATGTTGCGCAACATGTCACAGTATCTATCTACTACTTTCTCCATCGTTTTCAAAAGGAATGATAGGGCGATAAGCCTTAGCTTCAGTATAATCAAGTTTCCTGCTCTTTGGTATAAATGTCAATCTGACTTGCCTCCAGGCCTGTACAGATAAACCCATATGCCATGCAGGCTCTCAATACGCAGCATAAGTGTGGGACTAAATGTTCCATCCTTTACTGCAGAAGTGCTGGAACAATTTCATCTGTTCCCTAATGCCCATCTAATTTCTGATTGATTGATTGATTACCCGACCGGTCAGGTTCCAGTCTCCCCTGTTCGTTGTGTGTCTACATATCCTCAGGTTCTGCTGGACCCACCTGCCACCTGAATCATCAATCAGCTTCGAATCAGGGAAATGAACTCTGAACAGTTCTTCCAGGGTCCCTTTCCCAGTTTGGGTATACTTTTTTTTTAAATTCGCTTAGCGGGGGGTGGATCCACTTCGCACAGCGGCCACTGACTGGCCTACTGTAGCCTGCCCCGGATGATTATGATGATGGAGAATTTGATGGAATGAAGATTGGCAGGGAAACCGAAGTACTCGGAGAAACCCCGCCCCAGAGCAACTTTGTTCACTACAAATCCCACTTGACCAGACCTGGGATCGAACCCAGGCCACCACAGTGGGAAGCCAGAAGCCAGCAACTAACTGCTTCAGCTACGGCGCAGCCCTTTGGCTATACTTACCATCAGGCAGCTTGATAGTGCTGACCTTGTTGGTCGCCTATTTTGCCATGACCCTCATGAGTTTGGCACTGCCTGGTACATCACTGATCTCCTGGCAGCACATCCTCCATGAGGATCGCTTGGCTTTCCTTATTTCTTTATTATAACAGGTGAGTGTTTCCTTGTAGGTGCCCCACAGCCCTGTTCTTTTTGCTATATTAAATAGCTTTCTTGTTTCAGCTCTTAGCCCACTCAGCTTGTTATTCCACCAGGGTGCAATCCTTGGTAAGCGAGTAGTCTTGGCTGGACAATCATGACAATGCAACTGGTCAACAGATCAATCTATGTCCCTTATCGTGCGTATATTTCATGAAATAATCTCCAGGTTCACTGTAAGGTCGTCCTTGTATGACTCCCAATTGGTTCCACTAGGATTTCTAAAGGTAACTTTTTTGTTGATATGTTAGCTATTTGAAAGTAGATATTTACCATACTCTGAATCCTTATCTTCAGATTTGGCACAGTAATTGTACTTTGGTGAATCATCTGTCAGAGGGACATTCTGATCATGAAGTTCAGTGATGGCATGGATATCCAAGATAATTTTATCATCATACCGTCCACCTTTCTCTTGTGATAAAATCTGAAATTACACAAAAACATATATCATAATTATATGAAGCCACCAGCAGAGCTACAACCGATGTCATAACATCCAATACAGTAATTTCTGCAATGAAATAATCGCTAAACTTACTTTATCTCCATTCACCACACCTCTTCCTCCTTGTAGTGTATGGGATAGGATGTTTAATACAAAGGTTCTTCCACTTAAATACCAACCATACCCTCACACAGGGCACCGTTTAACATCAAAATGGCTATAGTGACCAACACATGACAGTATAATTGTTAAAAAACAAACTCCATGGTTTTAGTCCACAAGCGAACTGTACTGACTGAGCGCCTGCTGCTTGTCGGCGAAGTTACTGCCAACTTTTGTGGATAGAGGGTGTCACATGGTCAGCACAACAAATCCCCAAGAAAGAGCTCCTCAATTATCCTCATGAGGCTGAGTGGACCCTGTCCCAGACCCACTACTTCTCAGAAAATCTGGTAGCACCAGGATTCGAATCCTGACCTCTGGATCTGTAGCCAGGAACTCTGACCACTAGACCACGGAGGCAGTCATATAAATGTTACATCTTGTGTAAAGGAAATCCTCTTAGATTCTAAAGGGTTCTGACAATGGTGGATAACACACAGAATTACTGGGTTTTGGGACTTTTTCTATCATCCAGAATTCTATAGAACACACGACATTTTCGAAACTGGATCTGGATTAAGATTAGCTCTTAATAAGGGGCCCAACTGAGTAGGTGTCTTCCTTTCTTACCTGAAGATGGAAACAGATTTGGTTTCTGAAATGTCATGCTTTCTATTTCCTTGAATCCTAGATGATGGAAAAAGTCCCAAAACCCAGTAATTCTGTGTGAAATCTTTTTAACACACTGATTACAACAGACACCAGTGTCCACTCTTACATGTTTACATTTGGCTACAACTGCAACATATCTGACAGCCATACACATGTCACTGGGGCAATGATTTCTAGGATGTTATACAGTTCACCAAAAATGGCATAAGAAACAGAAGAATGTCTTTATTATGTACATTATTATTATTAGGCTAGACCTGATCAAAATACCAGCACAGTGACTATGAATATTGAGTCAAGGTTTTTTAATTCAATCTCCTCTTTTGCTGAAATGCATATTCAACATACCAAAGAATTAAAAAATTACAAGAAAATTACCTCAACCAGGTCCTTTGTTCACTGCTTTTTATCTCCAAAAGCATATTCTCTGTTTGCACTGAACTGTACTGAAGCAGTCTAAGTATACAGAATTTTGGATTGGTTTAAAAAGAATTTAATATCTCTCAATATAATAAAAACATACTACATAAACTTGACTGCAAGAACTAGGTGTGATAGGGACATGGGAGAACTTGGTGCTACTGTAACATGTGCTAATTACACTAAATTTCTTGGCCTGACAATC